CCTAAACCCTAAAATCTGAAACCCTAAACCCTAAACCCTGAAACCCTGAAACCCTAAACCCTAAACCCTAAACTCTGAAACCCTAAACCCTAAACCCTAAACCCTAAACCCTAAACCCTGAAGCCCTAAACAGCCAGTGCCAGGTGAAGCCGAAGCCGAAGATTGCCTCGACCCGGCCCAGGACGTAGAGAGTATCTCTTTGGTATGCAATAGGTCCGTTACACCCTGGTTTAGGGGTTTAGGGGCTTTTAGGGCTTAGGGTCTTTAGGGGCTTTAGGGTCTCTAGGGTTTACCTTAAGAACCCAAAACCTACTTTGTTGTAGGGTCCCTATAAATCCCATATTAGGGTTTATAATAAGAACCTATTAAGAAGTGGGTTTTGGGTTCTTAAGGTACACCCTAAACCCTAAACATCCCTTTGGTATGACATAGGTCCGTTGCATGGTTCGTTTAAAGGATTGGGGTTTATGGGCTAGGGTTTATGGGGAGAGATTTCCCAGAACGTATGGTGCTATATTCTACTTATAGGATCTTTATTTGTTGATGAGATTGTATGTTTTTTGCAGCTAGCATAGGGTTTCTGTTGGGGAGTTGGTGAGTTTAGAAAGAGCTCTGTAGGCATGTTTGTGAGTGTACACTTTGGGTTGTACTATCGGGAGACTAACAGCAGTATATTTTAATATTTTGGGGCCGGGAACTTCACGCTTGGTTCCTTTGGAACCCAAGTGTGTGCTGGTTGAGTACATGGACCCTGCGGGTTAGGACATGGAGGTTTTGAAGCTTTTCGAACCTTGTGTGATTGATTTGAGCTCTAGAGCTTGACAGCTGGCGAGTCTGTCAGTGTGTAAAGTCGGCCTCAAGGTGTTTTCACTCTAGAAGTGTGGGTCACAGGATGGTGGGGGGGAGGCCTAATACCAAGAGGACCCTTTGTTGCGGCACTGTTTGGGAACGCCCGATAGGGTTACGTAAGGCTTCAGCTGGGGGCCAAAAAGCAGTTACCTCGGATGTGGCCATCGCTGGCTGTGTAGCTGACGGTGCTGCTGTCTGAGGCAGCACTGACCCTAAACCCCTACAGCAAATATTCCTTAGACCCTGAACGATTCCATCGTCTTGAGAAAGGACCCCTTGGGTGTTCTTGTGTCCGACGACTGGGCAGTGCTTGTCTCGGGCATTGACATCGCGGAAGAGGCGCCGTGTAGCTGTGCAGAAGGCCTAAACCCAACAACATGAACCTATCTCCCAACTGAAACCCTAACCTCAAAGCCCGTAAACCCTCTATAACCCTTCAACATGAGCTGACTGAACGCTTGCCTTTTTTGGGGAAGAGGGGTCGGGAGGGGGCGGTCATCCCGGTATTGGGGCTTTAACCCCACAGGCCTTGTAGAGACCCGAAAGTCATGCCCTTCAACCACAGGCAACCCCCTGCCCAGAGAACCCAATACCCCTTAATTGAGGAATATACCTGAAATGATAATGATAATAACAACAATAATAATAGTAATAGTAAGGCGCCTATAATTTAAGGTATATTCCTTAATTAAGGTGTATTGGGTTCTCTGGGTGGTTGGGGTTGAGGGTTTAGGGTTGAGGGTGCAGGAACGATTTTAGGGTTTAGGGTTTAGGGAGAAGGAACCGTTTTGGGGTGTTTAAGGGTTTAGGGTAAAGGAACCCTTTGAAATAAACCTCGAACGCCCTCATGTCATGGTATTCCTTACACTACTTCTGTAGCCTAGAGCACCACACAATCCAGTACCGCAGTCCGCACAGAAGCCCATTGCAGTTAAAGGGAGCCTCTAAAAGAACTCTTGAAAGGGGCTCTTTAAAGGAACCGTAAACCCCAAATCCTAAACCCTAAACCTTATAGAGGGTAGATGGAGGGTCTACTTGGAGGGTCATGGGACTTAGCAACTCGGGTTATAAGTAAGGTAGCTATACTTATAAGTAATTATAACCCCAATTAATGTAGTTATAACCTTGCCTACTAAGTCCCATGATCCTCCAAGTAGGTCCTAAACCCTAAACCCCAAACCCTAAACCCCAAACCCTAAACCCTAAACCCCAAACCGCAAACCCTAAACCCCAAACCCTAAACCCGCGTAGGCTTCATGTCGGTTTCGGGTTTTGA